GCTAGGCCGCACCAAGCTGTGTCAGTGTAGCCATGCGGCTAGGCCGCACCAAGCTGTGCCAGTCTAGTCGCGCTGCTATGCTGCACCAAGCTGTGCCAGTCTAGCCGTGCTGCTAGGCCGCACCAAGCTGTGCCAGTCTAGTCGCGCTGCTATGTCGCACCAAGCTGTTCCAGTCTAGTCGCGCTGCTAGGCCGCAACAAGCTGTGCCAGTCTAGCCGTGCCGCTAGGCCACACCGAGCTGTGCCAGTCTAGTCGCGCTGCTATGCCGCACCAAGCTGTGCCAGTCCAGCCGTGCTGCTTGGCCGCACCAAGCTGTGCCGGTCTAGCCGTGCTGCTTGGCCGCACCTTGTAATGCATTTAGCTCGCGATAAACTCGTTTTACTCTATAATAATTATGGAAGCTGTGCGTCGTTACGTTGTGTCACAACTTGCAGGAGAATGTCAGGTGACACTGTAGCAGCGCTGAACGCCTCGGTGTCGCCGTCGAGGGCAGCGCGCAAAGTGGCAATGTCCGTGTTCGGAATTGCTGGGGGTTCAAAACGGAGTTTTGGAATATAGATTATCTTTTGACCCAGCAAGTTGTTGTCTCCATCCCTGTAAGAAAGTAAACCATAATAGCGTTGGAATCTCCGGTGCCGTCAGGGGTAAAGAAGAACACGGGCGAGGGATCGCAGTCTCATGGTTTTCCGTACTTTGGCTCCTCAGGACCCCAGCAATACGACGCCGGGCGGTCGCAGTTTGCGCATGAACCCCCGCCAAGGTGGTGATGTCCCACTCCGGGCTTTCGCGTCATGCTTAGGGCTTGGTCCTAGTTCGTGCTTCTGGTGCCGCCACTGCGACCAATAGCGTGGCACCGATCACTCGCTTCCGTCGTCATTTAGCTGACTGGGAGACGGCGTCATTGCTGACATTGGCAGCCCCGAGGTACTATGGTGTCAGCATATTTTTACCCTCTGAAGCGGGCTCCAGGCACGTGGCCAGGTGCCAACTGCGCCTGCGCTTTGCTCTCTGACAGTGACAGTGCACGGGATGGCAGCAGTGTGCATGAGCGGTCTTTTGCTCCGGCCGTTAGAGGAGCGATGATTCATCAATGTTTGTCCAAGACGACGCCTTGGTTGCGTTCGCTTTCCACCGAGGCTGGTATTTGGTTTTCGCGACGGCTTGGTTTTGTCGACTCGCGACAACGTCGTAACAAACTACTCGCATGCATACGTTTTTCTGCTTACGCGGCGGACAATGGGTCTGAGAGCGTTTCCGGAACACACAAGAACAATATTTCGGGAAGGGGAGGCCAAACGTATGTCATCAGATAACAGTCGAGTGTGAGGCGTCATCAGCCTGAGGCGTACAGTCAGCCCCAGCTGTCGAGCACGTCTTGGGCGGTGTGACTGGGTTTTTTGCACGGCATGTGGACTAGTACGTCGGCCGGCTTCATTATCCTGGAACGGTGAGGGCCAGCTCGCCCTGTGGTAGGCGGCAGCCTGTCAGCCGTACCCGGTCCCTGCTCGTCAGCTGTCGGGCTCACTTCGGTGGACACCGGTGGCCTTGGGTTCAGCTCTGACCCCCGGTCCGGTCGGTCCGGCCGCGACCCCCTCCCTCCGTCCACGTTTGCGACAGAGTCAACAGGTGCGGACCCGGCGGCGGACGCGCGCATCTGCCAGCGGCCGCTCGGCGGGGGGCGGGGCCAGGGTGACGTCACCCGGCCCTTCGCGCCACCCGGGCCTTGGCGCCATCCGGCGTCAGTGTTGATAGTGGCCGCGGGCGGGGTGTGCGCGGGACGAGGCCTGTTGGGCTGCCCGCCGCCGTGCGACGTCGGCCCGGTGTTGCAGGGTGTCCTGAACCGGCTCGCGGGCAGGTGAGCAGCGGCCGGTGCTGTCTCTCGCCCGTCACGCGGGGAGGCGCCATTGTGGCTGGCGCCGGGCCCGGGCGGTGACGGCATGTTTGGCAGTGTCCCATGCAGCGGCGGCTTGATTTTGGCCCTGGTGTCCGGTGGGACTTGGCTGCGCACGATCAAGATTCCGCAGCGGGCAGTTGCAGGCCGGAGGGAGATGGTGTGGGCAAGTCTGACGAAATTGCCCGAACGGCATCGTGCGGTGGGAACGGAAATCGTGGCAATTTTGATGAGGGGTCGTATGGCCACTCTCACGCCTGTCATAAAGGTAGTGCATAATGCTGAATATAGAACCCACGCACCGCTTATGACAGACGGTGCACCGTGTTCTTAAGCGAGAGATGCTTACCATTGTGACTGGATCTCATGCTGTAACTGGGTCGTTCTTCAGCCCTGAAAATACTCACCAACTGCGTAATAGGGCACTGCGTAACTGAGTAATAGGGCACTGCTGTGTCTGGAAAGAAACAGGCGACCTTACTGCCTAGCTGTGCTCATCTGCGTCGTGACAGTCGGCCAGAGCGTCAGTCAGCCCTGCCTCTGTGTCAGCAGCGCCGCGCCGCCGACCGGCAGGCTTTGGCACGGCGCCAGTCGCGCGCCCCGGCGTTCGAATGGTGGCGCGCCGCCGGGTCGGCGGGCTGGGCGTGGGGCGCGGCGTCCGAGTCGAGCCGGCCCGCACGCGCTCGCACCGCTGCCGGCTCAAGGTCGTCTGACGTCAGCCACGCCGTCGCCGGCAGCCTGCACGGCTCGGTCTGGGGGGCCGGGGCCCGCTCGCGGACCGTCCCCAGCGGCGGCCGCTGGACGCCGGCCCGCCGCCGCCGGTAGTCGGCTGCAGAGCGGCGCGGAGGCCACCCGTACCGGCGCCGGCGCCGGTGCGCTGACATACGGCGCAAGAGCTTTACGGGGGGGGGGGGGGGAGGAGTGAGATGAGATGTTGGGGTGACGGGTGGAATGATCGGATATCGTCCTCGTGTGGGGCTGGAATGGACACGGCGTTTCGGCCAATGACTTTTCGGCCGTTGTCAGGTGTTTTTGGGTTCTGAGAAGGATTGGAGGATGTCTGGCTTTCAGCCATGTACGCGTCACAACTCGAATTCTCTTCGTGGAATTACTGGGATTCGAGCGAGGGTCCCCTGTTTTAAAGTTCAGTATTCAGCTGCAGTAGCCTTGGATGCTGCTACCAATACTGGTAACGACACAGCCGCTGCGACGCAGCTTCTGTGCAACATTGGCGTCATAAAACTGCCAATATGATGGACAACGCACCCATTGAGACAACACAACCGTCGAAGCGAGTCGTCTGGATATAAGCATGTAGACGAACTATCACATCCATTGCTCTATTCTCTTGTGTATTCTACGAGGAACAAGGCTATTAATACCGTCTCACCTAAATACTAATAACCGTAATATATCATTAAAGAACAATGTCAACCTATTAATGATTAAAGATATAACTTGAGAAATAAGAGTTCGACAGAACTTAGCTCAAGTGGGCGACAAAAAGCACCCGCAGGTAGACTGATAGACGGCTTCCGTCGCCGCGTTGCTGCGGCAGGCCGGAATCGCGCCGCCGCGAGCCAGGGCCCACCTGGTCACGGGCAGCGTGCGCTGTGGTGCATTGCAAGCCATAATTCAGTCATTGTTACAGGTAATTGCTTGAAACTTGGTACAGGCATCATTCATAGTTATAGTGGGAATACTTAAATATTTGCATAGTTTTGAGCTCGAAAAAAATGTTGAGTTCTCTTTATCAGTGTTTTTGTTATTTTACATTCCAGTATTTCACTGTGTAATACTGAAACAACGCAGCAAGGCTTATGAATGAGGGACTCGCAATGATGGCGCACATCTCCCATTTTCAGGATGTAAAACATGCTGTTTCGTTCGGCCTCTGTACCAATGTGTCTACGGCTGTGCGCTTTTGTAAAAAACAAAACGGCGAACATGACATCACTCTAACGGCACTCACGCTTGATCTATTATGGTCTAATAGTTGTGATTTTGGCACAAGGCGTAGAGTTCATCAGTTGTCGGCTACCGAATTTTTTTTTACGATATCCCGAGACTTTTGAATTATCGGGAATATTGGACAGGGGCGCAGATTCGATCTTCCCCTGGTCAATACCTGGTTAAGGAACCCGCGATTGTAGATTGAAGTGGGTCACCAAGTTGAACTAACGTGTCCAAGTTACGTTTGTCTGGAAGTGGTCAGCATTCAGTCGGACTCGATAAGTGATAAAAATTACATTAAGTAGTTTTGAGCACGGCGCTCGCAAATATTCGGAACAAAGACCTACGGCAGAAAAAAAAACACTCCAGGCGTTGCAGTTCCCGTAGGCGGCGCAGAATCCGCCCCGCATCTAATATGGAGCTTTGCTCAACGGCTGGACGGAAATGATGACGCATCCGAAAAGAAGTACCTTTGAACGCTTTAGGGCATCAAATCGTACATTTAAAAGGTGACCCAAATGTGGCTGCCTGTCAAGGCAGCTCACGCTCAGCCCATGGTCAGCCCATCCAAGCGATCCTTTCAAACTGCCCAAAATATGAGATGGAAGACCTTCTCGACATGAACACTTCGATCAACTCCAAGGTGTGGGGAGTATGGGAGTTGGGCTTATATCGTCAGTTTCACAGGGTTCATTTCCAATCAGTAGATATCAACTAAATCACGTAACAGTCGTCTTTGTCTTACAGAGTTAAAAGCATTTCAGATTTTTCTGATACAGAACATGATTTTAGTTGCATCAAAGTAAGGTCACTTTTTCATTTTGCTTTATTTCCTATCGATTGTATCATCGCACCGAACGGGGTTGATTTCGTCGGCCCATGTGATTGTCCTGATTTTTAAGATGATAAGTAGCTGGGCTGTAACACCTTATTCACCTAACGCCTTATTTTCCGAATGGACTAACGTGATAGTCAACATTGATGATTTCGGCACTCCTGGGATTCCGCTGATTTTGAGATATACGATAGCTGGACATTTAACGCGCCGGTGCCCGTGCAAATTACGCTGGGGAAAACGTTCTTAGGTTTATTGTGTGGTGTTCCGTGCTGTGTGCTGCGTGGCCGGTGTTTGAGCGTGATCGGTCGTGTGTTTCAGGCGATGAGTGACGCCGGGAAGCCGGCGTGGGTCGCCGCTGGCCCTGACGCGGCCGCGGCGGGTGCCTCCTCGGAGGTCGGCTCGGAGGCGGCCCGCGCCGGCCGGCTCTCCCCGGCGCCGCACACTCCCGCCGGCAGCCTCCAGCTGGTGGAGTTGCCAGAGCCTCGCACCGCGGTCGAGACGGAGGAGTCCGTCGACGAGCTGGGCCGCCGCGTGGTGGTGACGACCACGCGGTTCTTCACCTACGAACGGTCCGACGACGACGCCGACGGTAACGTGGTGGTGCTGGAGCGCGTGCGGCGCCGCGTGCACCGCGCCGTGTACGAGAATGGCGACGAGCAGGCAGTGCCAGAAGACGCCGCCGTGTCGGCCGTCGTGTACGTTCCGGAGGAGTTTGTGCTGCCCGAGCCGGCCGAGACGAGCGAGGTGCGCGAGTACGAGGACGAGCTGGGCCGACGTGTGGTGGAGAACATCACCATCCGCACCACGTTCGAGGAGGGCGGAGAAGAGGATGGCGGTGTGGTCATCCTAGAGAAGAGGCAGAAACGGGTGCATCGGACCATCTATACCGGTGACGAGGTCTTGGAGGAAGTCGAAGAAGGTGATGCGGATGAAGCTGGTGCGAGTCCCGAACTGCCAGCACCACATCAGAGAGAAGAAATGAAGGAAGTTATCGACGAATTTGGAAGGAGGGTTGAGGTCAGGACTGTCCACGTGACGACCTACGAGCAAGATACCGATGACGATGGCAATGTCGTTATATTGGAAAAGGTGTGCACAAAAAACTTTCAGACCATTTTGGAAGACGTTCCAAAGGCGGCTGAAGACGACAGCCGTCTCCCAGATTCCGATGCACAACATGTGCGGTCCGTGGTGACTAGTAACATGTCGGAACCAGGCGAAGACTTTGAGCTTCCTGAACCGCATGTGTCGGAAGAGACGCGCGAGTATGAAGACGAACAAGGCAGAACGATGGTGGAAAAAACAGCCATCACTACCACATATGAAAAAGACGCTGACGATCCGAACTGCGTAACGATTCTCCAGAAAGTGTCGCGACGCGTTACGAGAACTATATATGTGGACGGCGAAGTGGTTGAAACGATACACGATCCATCACCGGGGCCGGTGGCCACCACCGGCCAACCCCGACAGGTTGAGGAGCGACCCGAGTCCGGAGCCGTCACCACAGATCGCCTTGAGCCCGTCGGTCCGCTGGAGGAACCAGCACTGGCTGAGGATCACGCTGTGGCCCGGCCAGCTCCTGATGACCTCGCTGGCGATTGGACCGGGCCGGACGCGGCGGGCCTGCCGGAGGCCGTCGCTGGTGACGTGCCCTGTGTCGACACGTCGCTGGCACTGCAGACCGGGCCGGACGCGGCGGGCCTGCCGGAGGCCGTCGCTGGTGACGTGCCCTGTGTCGACACGTCGCTGGCGCTGCAGACCGGGCCGGACGCGGCGGGCCTGCCGGAGGCCGTCGCTGGTGACGTGCCCTCTGTCGACACGTCGCTGGCGCTGCAGCGGCTGGTCGGTTGGCCGGCGGTCCAGCTGCCGCCGAGCGCCGTCCTGAGGGTGGCCGAACGCGAGCTGCCGGCGCGTGACGTCCAGTGGCCAGGTCAGGAACCGGCGGCGGCGCCGGCCGGTTCGCTGCTGGCTGACCTGCCGCCCGCCCAGCTCATGGCGCATGCCCCTGCCCAGGCGCCGGTGGCGGCGGCGACCGCCGCTTTACCGGCTCTCGGTGAACTGGCAATGCGTCATGCGGCTGTGCCGCCAACTGTCGGCGAAAATCCGCAGAACTGCGGCGACCTGACGCCAAAGGCTGACATTGACGAGCACCAGCTGGTCGGACAGTCGGAGACGCCCTCCAGCCAGCCACTGGCGAGTTGGGAGCAGGACGGCAGCGTGCAGTCCACGAAACTGGGCCTCGAACCGTCGTCAAGAAAACGGAAGCCACGCGACAAGAAGGCGACGTCACCACCGGTCCAGCCATGCGAGTCACCGACGCCGGCCGACGACCTGAGCCCGGCCACTTCTGCGGACGGTGGCGCGCAGCGGAGTGACGAGCGGCCGCTGGCAGAGGACCTGTCCAGCGCGCGCTATATGGTGGCGACCGAGACGACAGAGCTGTCGCCCGAGCCAGGCGCATGTCCGAACGCCGACACCCTCGAGGAGTATGTGGACGAACACGGACGCCACATCCGCACCGAGAGGACGGTGCGCACTCAGCGCGACCGTGCCGTGGCGAGGGACGGCGTGGAGCGGCTGGTGACGCGCGTCGTGCGCTCGATCCGCGTGGACGGCGACGAGCAGGACGGCGCCTCGGCCGACCCGACGGAGGAGTGCCGTTCGGAGTTCTGTGAGGACCAGACACGGGGGACCGAACCTCAGGCGCAGGAGCAGATATTGGGAGAGACAATGACTGACAAAGCCGTTCTACGGGGTGAGGTACCGGGAGAGGCTTTGCTAGGGCAGGCCATCATGCAGCATCAGGAGCCTGGAGAGAATCTGTCGGATGGAGCTGTGCTGTACCACCAGGGGCCCGAAGAGATCCTGCCAGAGCAGTCGGTGCTGAGGCATCAAGAGTCTGGAGAGGTCCCGCCAGCAGGCCTTGCGCACAAGCACGAACATGCCGGGGAAATGACGCCGGACGACCCGGCGCTGGAGCAGCATGATCCGGGTGCTCCACCGGCCGGCGTCTCACCAGATGAGCCAAAGAGCACCAGCGACGGGAAGAAGAAGAAGAAGCGGAGGCAGAAAAAGAACAAAAAATTGCCAGATGCGCTGCTTTTAGCCAGCCGACTTCCGGAAAGCATGGTGATTGGCTCGGAATCCAGCCCAGGCGTAATAGATTCCGGGGCCAAGTCGTGTCAGCCGGTAAAACATGCTGAAGAAGGGACGATTTCGATGTTGGGCCCCAATCTGGCCCAGAAAGCATTGCAAGATGTGCAGACTGGGTCCAGTTTTCCCGACGCCGAGCGCGACCCGCTGGACTGCGAGGCCGCCCAGGTGCAGCCGCCGGACGCCGCTCCACAAGCACCGGCCGGGGACGCGCAGTCGGAGGATCGGGACGCCAGCGCTATCGACCGTTTGGAGCTTCGACCTCTTGATGGTAAGGAGGAGCGTGCTGGTTTGCCGTCGACAGAGCCGACGGGCGCGAAGCTTGGAAAGAAAACTCGGCGTAAAACGAAAAAGAAAGAGCGGGACGGATCGACGCGACATGTCGATGCTAATCATGCGCCAGCTGTCGGCAATTTGAATCGAACAGAAACCCCAAACGACGCGTTGTCCGAGCCCCAACTCGGGGCCGAAGGCCACTCGACTGAAGACGTCCGGTTCGAAGGTTTGGAAAAGCGATTGGAGGAAACAACTCAGACTGGAGCATTGCGGGAAGCGTCGCCCAGCGGGGAAGACGCGTCCGCCACAATGTCCGCCGACAATGCACGGGCTGACCGTGGCGTCGAAGGAGAGTGCACGCCCCCGCAGCGTGACGAGGTGCCACCGGCCCGCGCTGCCCCGGTAACGCCGCTCAAGACGGAACGCCAGGCTCTGGAGGAGAGCGTCGAACTGGTGGACGGCGTCCTGCTGCAGGACCCCACCGTCAGTATTGTCGAAGACGAGATCGTCGACGAGATGGGGCGGCCGGCGAAACTGCGCAAAATCTACGTCACGTTCGTGGAAGAGGTCGAAGACGAGTCGGGGAACAAAAACACGATGAAACGTGTGGTCCGGTCCGCCCAAAAGACAACAGAAATTGATGGTAACGTTGTGGTAGAGGATATCGAAGAACCGTTCGAAGACGTGTGCGGGAAGGACCTTGAGAGCCAGTTGATCGAAGAGTGTTTACCTCGAGTAATGGGCACTCTGGTTGAGGAACCACAAATCCAGATTTCGGCAGAAGAGACGTCGGACGACAGGGGCAGGCGTGTGGTTATCCAAAATATTTGCATTACATTCGTGGAAACAATTTTGGACGACTCGCAGGGGACGACCGTCGTGAGACGAATCATCAGAAAGAGACGCAAGGTGACTGAAGTGGGCGGTACGTCGATATTGGAGGAACGTGAGGAGCCCGAGCACGCAGAGGTTATGCCGGCCTCTGTTCCGGAGTTGACCGAGACATCGGTGCTGGAGGACTCGATGGTGACGGTCACGGGACAGTTAATCGGCGATCCACATGTGGAAACGACGGTGGAGGAGACCGTGGACGAGCAGGCCAAACCTGTGAAGATCAAACGGGTGTACGTAACGATCTTGGAGGAGGTTGTCGACGTCACGGGCGTCACCCGTCTGGTGAAACGCACGATAAAGAAGACCCAGAGGACGAGAACGGAGAACGGCCGCCCAGTCACCGCGGACGTCTTCGAGCTGATCGAAGAGCCGCCAATGGACGAACAGCGAGAGCGTGTGCTGGAGCTCTGTCTCCCGCTCATGCAAGGCACGCTGTTGGAAACGCCCAAGGTCGAGTCATCTTACGAGGAGACATTGAACAAGGACGGAAAGCCGGTGACCATAATACGCTTTTGTGTCACGGCCATCGAGAAATTCGAGGATGGTATACCAGGTACAATGAGCATCTACAAGAGACTGATTAAAAAGATTCGAAGCGTTACAGAGATGGACGGCACAGCCGTGGTCGAAGAATGCGACGAGCCTGACGAGACCCAGCTGGTGGCGCGCTCCATCCCTGAGGCCACTGAAGCGTCTGTTCTCCAGGAATGCAGGCCTCTTCTGAGAGGCACCCTAGTTGTGGACCCCAAAACCGAAGTTGATGTTGAGGAGGGCGTTGATGACCGCGGTATTCCCGTGACTATCAGAAGGTTTCACACATCATTGCTGGAGGAAATTAATGACGGGGTGGACAACCCCCGTCTCGTGAGACTGGTGGTCAAGAAGACTCAAAAAACCAAGACGGTTTATGGGCTTCATGTGACCGAAGACGCCGAAGAACAGATCGCAGAACCCTCCCGAGAAGAAATGAAGGAACAAGTGCTGCAGCAGTGTTTGACGTTTTCACGCAGCTCACTTATCGGAGAACCCACGGTAGAAATTCACACGGAGCCTGGTCAGAGCAGGGTGGGAACTCCGGCGCAGATCAGTAAGTTTGTCGTCACCGTCGTGCAGCAGGATGGTTGGACCCGCGACGCGTTGGGTCGCGATGTTCCCATCAGGCGCGTCATCACCAAGAAGCGACTGGTGTACCCGTACCAGGACAAGATGGTGGTGGAGGAGTACGACGAGCCGGAGACGCTTGAGGAGCTGGCGTCGTCCGTGGCCGAGATGACGGAGACCGGCGTGAAGGAGGAGTGCGTGGCCCTCGTGGCAGGCGCACTGGTTGGCGAGCCGGAGGTCACCACCACCGAGGAGGAGAGCTCGGACAGCCGGGGACGTCCGGCGCGGCTGCGCCGTGTGTGCGTGACTGTCACTGAGCGGCAGCCCGGCCCTGGCGGCGCCCTGTTGGTCCGGTCGGCGCAGCGTGTGCAGCGCACGGTGGACGAGAAGGGCCGCCGCGTCACCGAGGACTTACAGCAGCCGGTGGCGCCCGAGCCGCGCCAGCTGCAGCGGAAGGCGGTGCAAGACTGTCTCCGACACCTGGCGGGCACGCCGCTAGGAGAGCCGGATGTGGAGACGGAGCTGGAGGAGACGGTCGACGAGAGGTGCGGGCCCTCTGTAACCCAGCGCGCGGTCGTCACGGCGAGGGAGCAAGTCACGGACGAGCAACAGAACGCGCAGATCAGGCAGGTCAGATTCGTTAAGAACCTGAAGACCTATCAGGTTGATGGAATGTGTGTGGTGGAAGAATGGGATAAGCCGCTGGAGGTGGCTACCGTTACCTCGTCCGTGCCAGAGATGACGGAGGAACAAGCACTGTCAGAAGCCCTGCCGTTTGTTCATGGTTGTCCTGGTGGAAGACCCCAGAACAAGAACTGTCATTGCAGTGGCGGAGGACAATGATGGGAATCCTGTCACGATCAAGACGATATATGTGACTCTGCTTGATGACGTTACTCAAGCGGATGGAAACAAAAGGCGCGTAAAGCGAACGATGAAGAGGTCCCAGACGATGAGCGAGGCGTTCGGAAGGCCGTCAGTGGCCGACGTGCGGGAGTATGACGTCGATCCGCCGCCGACTGATGAAGAGCTGCTCAGAGAGTGGCCTCTGCCGCTCGCAGGGCCCATGCTGGGAGAGCCCAGTATACACTGCGTCGTCAACGAGTCGGTGGACGAGACGGGCAAGCTGGTGACGACCCGACGTCGCACAGTCACGGTGCTAGAGCAGGTCGTTGATGCCGCTGACAACATCGCGGTGAACGAACGCGTCTTCTCACACGTGCTGAGATCGTACGTTATCGACGACAAGCTGGTCATGGAGGAGACCTTGGAGCCCGAAAGCAGCCAGGTGCTGTCCACCTCGGTCCCGGAGGTCACCGCGGAGGCGGCGATCGAAGACGCCCTCTCCACCGTCACTGGCAGCCTGCTGCAGCAGCCGTCTGTCCAAGTACTGGACACCGAGTCGGACCACGACGGCGAGGCGGTGACGCTGCGCAGGACCGTCGTCACGCTCAGCGAGAGCGTGCCGGACGTGGCCGGCGTCGTTCGCCCGGTGACGCGGTGCATCACCCGCGTGCAGCGCATCCGGCGGGTGCCCTGCGGCCGGGTGATCGAGACCGTGCGCCCGGAGCCGGCCGAGCCGGCCGACCCGGCGCTGGAGGAGGCGGCCGCCGAGCTGTGCCGGTTTGCGGCGGACGGCCGCCCGCTCGAGCCGCTCCACACCGAGACGTGCGCCGACCAGGTGACCGACGCCGAGGGCCGGGTGATAGTCAGCCGGCGGGCCAGCGCCACGCTGCAGGAGGCGGCGCGCGACGGCCGCCGCGTGCGCTGGACGGCTGCCCTGCTGCGCCGACTCGTGCCGTCGGAGGACCGGCTGGTGGTGGAGGTGTGGCCGGAGGAGCCCGTGCGGGCGGAGGTGCTGGACGGCACGGCTGACGAGCAAGCCGTCGAGCTGGACGGCCGGCCGGCGGCTGACGAGCCGGAGACCGCCTCCGCCGCCTCCGCCGCCGCCGGCCGCTGGACCGAGCTGGACTGCCAGGCGCAGCTGGCGCTGGATGAGCTGCGCGCCGCCGCGCTGGAGGAGCCGCAGCTGCACGCGGAGGAGGGTGAGTCTGAAGAGGAGCGCGGCGGGCGGTGCCTGACGAGGCGGCTGGAGCTGACCGCCTGGGAGCGGGCGTCCGACCGACTGGCGCGGCCGGTCGTGCTGCGGCGCCGGCTGCGGCTGGCGGCCCGGCTGCAGGGCGGCGGTCTCCGTCTGCTGCCACGCCAGGAGGAGTCCGAGCCGCTGGGTGTCATCGTGGACTCGGAGCCGGACGACGGCGGCTACGTGTCGCGCGTGGCGCACCTGGTGGAGGGTCCGCTGGCGGCCGAGCCAACCGTGCACCGGCAGCCAGCGACGGCAGATGCCGGCCCGGCCGGGCTGACGGTCACCGTGCGCCGCGCTACCGTCACGCTACTGGAGCAGGTGCGGGTCGGAGACAGGTGGCTGTCGCGGCGCCACCTGGTACCCGTCACGCGCCGCATCGCCGCCGTCGGCGGTGTAAGCGTACTTCTGGAGGAGGTCATCGGGGAGCCGGCCACCACCTGGCTGGATGAGCCGGACTCGGCGGCGGCTGGCGACACTGCGGTGACGCCGGCGGCGCCGCCGCCAACCGCGTCTGGCGCTCCGCCAGCCAGCAATGGCAGTGGCGACACGCCGGGCCTGGCTCGGCTCCGACAGACGATCACAAGCCCGGAGCCGGGACCGGCCGCGGTCCGCCACAGCGCGTCCGCTGGCCCGGCTCCCGTGGCTGGCGCGCCGTCCGATCCGGCCGGCCGAGACGCCGCCATCAGCGTGCTGAAGCTGGAGGAGGACGCAGTGGCGCTACCGGACGGCTCTGCCGCCGAGCAGCGGCTGCCGGGCCGGGCGTCTCCGGCTGCCGGGGACCGGGAGCCGGCGGACGGTGGCTCGTCGGGCGCGGCGCCGCCGTCCGGACAGGCGCCGCCGTCATCGGACGGCTCGCAGACAGAGGACAGCTTTCTGGACGCGCCCGTCCTGGAGCGCGAGCCGACCGAGCCGGCGCTGAGCCTGCCGCCGCTACCGCCGCTCGAGTCGGCGTCGGAGCAGGAGCGCGCCGTGCTGGAGCCGCTGCTGGTGGCGTACGCGGCCCTCAGCAGGCCGGGCGCCGTCCGGCCGCCGGAGCTGCTGCCGGCGGCCGCCGTGCCGGTCGACGCGGCTTCTCTGGCTGCACTGCGAGCACCCCTAACGGAGGCGCGCGACTGGTCTGAGAGCTGGCGCTCCTGGGTGAGGGCGCTGCTGTTTATCATGGCGCGGCTCGATCACGTGTTCAGCACTCTGGTGCACACAGACGAGCAGCTGCTGGCCCAGCTGGGAGAGCTGACGACCGCTGATGAGGCGCTGCAGCAGCTGCCGGAGCGTCTGATGCAGCTGTCGGGCATGCCAGAGCCCAGCCGGCACTTGCTGGTGACGTTGGTGGAGCACGTTTCGTCCGCGGCGCGCTGGGGCCGTGACCTAGTGTCGGCGCGCCGGCGCGCCCTGGACCGGCACGGCGCGCACCAGAGACAGCTGCGCCACGGCCTGGCCACCAGCCACCACCAGCTGCACCAGCTGCAGAACTGGCTGCACGCGATGGCCGCCTGTCAGGACCCGGCCGAGCGGGAGCGCCAGATGACGCTGGCGCGCATCAAGCTGCGTGGCCACGAGCGTCAGTTCTGGTGTCACTCATTGCTGGCGCAGCGTCTGGCCGGGCCAGGCGGGGACCGGCCGCCGGCCTGCCTGCAGCCACTGCAGGCGCTGCTGCAGGAGACGAAGGCGGCTCTGGAGGCGGTGCCGGCTGGGCCCGAGCGGTCCGCGGCCCTGCCGCCGCCGGCCGCGCTGGCGCTGCTGCCGCCCCACGACCGGCCGCTGGTGGTGGACACACTGGCCGAACTGCGCGCTCTGCTGCCGCTGTACCGGCGGCTGGCCCTGCTGCTGCCGGCGCCGACCGGCCGCCAAGCCCAGCCGCTCAGCGCGGCGCTGCTGCTCTGGCAGGAGCTCGACGGCCAGCTGACGGAGCTGGACACGTGCCGGGCGGACGGGGTCGCCCTGCTCGCAAAGCTGGCCGACCAGGTCAACGTCGACGACCAACAGCTGCTTCCGCGGCTCGAGGTAAGCACTCCTGGCCGCTCATTTTCAAGGTGCGGCTCTTTACCTTTTAGTCGGAGATCGTTATGTTAAGATCGCTGAAGATGATTGAAAACAATATTCCACACTGCTATGTGGTCGTCGTTTGGCTACAGCTGGTGCGGTGTGGTCACGTGCTGTGCCCGCGGGCATTGTGTAGTGCGTGTGCCCGCGGGCAGTGCGTGTGGTACGTGTGCCCGCGGACAGTCTGTGGCATGTGTGCCCACGGGCAGTATGTGGCATGTGTGTTCGCGGGCAGTGCGCGGTACGTGTGCCCCGCGGGCATTGTGCGGTACCTGTGCCCCTTGGTGTGACTCGACGGCGTCGTCTGGCGGCAGACCCAGTGCCGAGAGGTGGCGGCCGGCTGCGCCATGCTGGCCGACCTGCAGGTGCTGCTAGCTCGCCTGCAGCGCCTGGTCACCGCCCGCCACGCCCAGCTGCGCCTGGCCCGGCTCCGGTCCGAGCTGGCCCAGCTGGACCGCCGGCTGGTGCGCACGGCCAGCCAGCTGGCCGAGTGCCAACGTCGCCTGGCGGACGTGGCTGGAAACTTGGACCGCTTGGAGCAATGGATACAACTCACACAACAGCTGATGGGTCGGGACACACCGCCGTCAGAAGCGGAGCTGGAGGTGAGTTGGGATTTGTCGCCAGGACGCCCAGTTCAATGATGTGACGGAGTCAACGGTTTAAGTTACGGACTTCTGTAACTAATGTGATGGTACACATCGTAGCCAACTATTACTTTAAGGCTGCCGGTACGCTGAATGCTTATCAGTGTTCAGTATTTACTTGGACCTGTGTGTCGACTGTGTGCTTTACTCCCGCCGGCGATGGCAGAGTACTCTCGATGCGTCTTACATTGTCGCTATCAAGACCGGGCGGTCGTGATCGTCTCTGCTGACGAGCGGGTTTGATGTGGACTTTGCGGGGCCCGTGTGTGCGGCGGTGTGAGCGTGCGCCCCGGTCGGGGAGGCGCTCTGACCTCTGGCCGCGTCGGCCGTGGCAGGAGGCCTGGGACCAGGCAGATACCATGGAGCACCTGTGCGTCGTCACGTCTGAACAGCTGGAGGCGGCGCTAGCCGTGCTGCCCGCCTCGGACGAGGAGTTGCTGCGCGCCCGGCTGGCGCTCAACCGGCGACGGCTGCTGGAGCTGGCGACGGCGCTGCGCCGCTGCTGGCCCGACGACCTGGCGCGGCTGAAGCGGCGAGCCGAGCGGCTGGAGGCGCGCGCCGCCGCCGGCCCGCTGGCGCCGGCCGTCGCCGCGTTGGAGGGCCTGCGGAGCCGGCTGGAGCGGCTGCCGGACGCTACACCGCCGGCCGACACGGCCGAGTGGCGGCTGGCGGCGGCCGAGCGCGTCGCCGCCGTCAGCCGCCTGCAGCGCCGCCTAACCGCCAACCTAACACGGCTGCGGCCGCTGGCGGCTCGACTGGTGACGCTGGACGAGGCGCGGCGGGCAGTGAGCGACCAGCTGCAGCTGCTGCAGCGGCTCCGGCGGCCGGCGGGCGCGCCGCTGCGAGCCGAGGTAGAGGCGCTGCAGCTGGTAGCGCGCTCGCTCGCCGCAGAGGGGCCAGGCATCGCTGCCATCCAGGTGAGCTGAGAGCGCACAGCCCATTCAGTCTCTGCTGTGGCACTGCCCGCGTCCAGTGTGGTCCATCGGAATTCGCTGCGTTGTCACCAATGCGGCCGTTCTGAGGAGTATGCTTAGTTGATGTGCTCTATGTCTACCAAATCAGAACGCCGCCTTGAAGAGACCGTTTTGCAACGAACCAGCGGTTAGGGTTTCAGTCCACAGCTGATCCGACTCTGGCGACCTGCCGCCTGCCGTCTGCCGCCTGCTCCGCCGCTGCCCGGTACTCGCGCGTCCCTGGGCGGGAGCGTGCCGAGCAGCGGCGACTGGCCGGTGTCCGGGGTGTGACCAGCCTGTGTGCGTCTCCCCAGTCGCTGGAGTCGGAGGCGGCGCAGCTGGACGCGCTGCTGCACCGCTCGGCGGCGGAGGAGCCGGACCGACATGCCGCGCTGGCGGCCGACCTCGGCCGGCTGGTCAACTACGTGCTGCACGTGGAGTCGGAGCGGGCGGATAGCCACCGACTGGCCGACTGCGACACCGAGCAACAGCTGCAGGCCGCCGCTGACGTGGACCAGGTGGGTCGCGGCCCCCCTCCCCCGCTCAATGGCTGTTCTCTGATGGGTGTGTGTTCTCTGGGGGGGGGGGGGGGGAGGGATGTGCTATCCGTAACTCGTACGTTATGCAGCACATGTTAATGGTGCGTTACTGGGTCGTTGGCTTTGGCTAATGTCTTAACTTATGAACCATTTGGCTGGATGTTCTTCGGGCCAGTGTGGTTGAATTTTTTTATTTGCTTTCGGGATGTGAAATCCTATATATGTCCTGTCCGTTTTCCGTTTTCAACATTGATTGCGCATTTCTTTTATATCTGGTTTGCATAGGACAGCCACATTTCATTGTTACACTATTTAATAGGATTCTACCCTGGCACTGAACCGTGCACAGCAGGGGCGTTCCTTAACTGATGTCTCATCGGTGTTCAGATGTCAAAAAGGATGGAATAATGCAAACGTTCTACACGGGTACGATTTCACGTTCTGGTGAATGATCGTACAACATCCAGGCACGTTAAAATATGTTGTAACCTCTGCTGTCAAGTATAATTGAGTAGATGTCGTTGAATCTGCGAAAAGCTGATTGCTAAAAGATATTGCTAAGATTTCTCCCGATGTGGGTGGAAACATTTAGCGAAAGGTGTGGGGATAGTTTTCACGACGTTTTTTTTCCCAAATCCTGTTGATCAGCGTTGTTGCGGTGTGCGGTCGTGCTGGGCGGCTGTGAGCTGACGGCGCCGGGCTGCGGCGTCCGCAGGAGGCGTCGGGCCGTCTGCAGGCGACCGAGCCGCCAGCGCCAGTCTCCGAGTCGCCGCTGGTTTGGCCGCTGCTCGCCGGGTGTCTCCAGCTGCGCGGGGAGGCGGCCGAGCCGGCGGCCGGCTCCGCCTCCGCCTGTCGGTCCGCCGCCGCCGCGTGGAGCCGGCTGACCGCGCTCCTGGACGCCACAAACGAGTGGCTGGAGCGGCTGCCGGCGGCGGCCGAGGACGACGCCGGCGCCGCCGCCGATCAGGTACTGTGCCGGATGAATGTTGGCGCGTACCTGCTCAGGTCACTGGCAGGTCAGCCTCGAGCCGACCCGGTGACTGTCGGCGCGTGCCTGCCCAGGTCACTGGCAGGTCAGTCTCAAGCCGACCCGGTCTTAGTCACGCCGAACACGGCCGACCGGTGGCGGATGAGGGAGCGAGGTTGTCCACCGGGCTAGGACGCTCCACGATGTCCGGCCGTGCCTGTGTTCGTGTGTCCGCCTGTATGACCCCAGCTGCCACCTGGACCGAGTGTGTCAAGTGAGCCCCTAATGCAGCCAGCTGAATGCATGCTGCTTGTGCGGACGGCGCGCTGGCGAGATGGCACACATTGCGTGAATCTGCGCAGAGCGCGGATGCTCTTGAGTTCGTATGATTTACAAGAACTAGGCTGTCATGGATGTTGAGCCGGTAGCACGAACATTTACTGATCCTCCCCCTCCCCCCCCTCGTTTACTGACCTAGATCCCCGTTTACTGCCGAGTAGCCCCATAAGCATATGCGGGCGATAATGACGTTCGGAAGCATCACAGTTGCCTTTCATCGTTTCCCTTTTTTGAGCGGTAGTCTATTCTGGGGTGTATGGGTGTCGCTGACGTGTTCTGGGTTTTGATGTACCTAGTTTAGATCTGCAGTAGCACGCCGATAGGCGTGGAGGCAGTGAGCAGAGTGAGTCCTGTGCCGCTGCCGCGCGCCGTAGGCGGACGGCGCTGACCGTGGCGCCGCGCCGGCAGTGTCTGCTCGAGGAGCTGGCCGGCCGACAGGAACAGTTGGGCGCCGGGGCCGGCCTATTGGACGCCGTGCTGGGCTGCGGCCGGGTGTCGGCCGGCGCCGGGCGTGCTCTGTCGGCCCGACTGGCGGCCGCCGGCGCCGGCCTCGACGCCGCCGAGCACCGGCTGCGCGGCCGGCCGGCCGGTGGGCCCCAGCTGGCCGCCTGCCGCCGCCGGCTGCAGCTCATCACCGACGCCGTGCAGCTGCCGCAGCTGCCGCAGCTGGCCAAGCAGCTGGAGGCTGCCGCCGACCTGGGCCTCGAGCTGCATCAGCTGTGCGGCACGGTGGCAGCGCCGGAACACTACGAGGAGCCGGCCCAGCTGCTGCAGGTGCGGCCCGAACGTCGAGCCGGTCCGCGGCCGCCAGCTTACCCGGCGCCCGAGCTCGCGCAGACGGCCCGCCGCCGGGGCCCAGTACTGACGCCCTGTCGTCGCGCCGACGCGAACCATCGTAGCGACATCGTATTGAGACCTGGCAACCCAGGGGACAGTAGCGGATGCGTTTTCATCGATGGCGTGGAGGTGGGTCTGCCGAGCCGCGGCTGCCGCCACCCAATGTGTGTAAGTGTGTGTGCCGGGTCGCCAGGAGTGGGAGCGGGCGGTGACGGAGCTGCTGGCGCAGTACCGGTCGGTCGTATCAGAGTCTCTGCGGCAGCCGGCCGGCATCGGACAGCTGGCGTTCGTGCGGCACCATCTGCTGCTGTCCGTGCCGACGGCCGAACCCGGCCCAGCCGCCGACCGTGCGCTGAACGACGCCTTGCGAGCGCAGGTCAGTCACCTCCGGGACAGGACGGAACGGAACGGAACGGAACGGGACATGTGGGTGTGCACGCCTTTGTTGTGACCAACGCTGAGGTGTCACCTGTCTTGACGCCCGCAGGCGATCGAGGTCATCGTTGGTGTGCACCGGGACCAGCTGGCGGTGCAGCTGGCGTCGCCGGAGATGCCGGCCGCGCAGCACCAGCAGCTGTGTGACGAGCTGGCCGCTGTGCTGCGCCAGCTGTCCCAACTGCGGGACGGACGCGCCCACGGCGCCCAGTGGTCGTCGTACAGCACTCTGCTGGCCACGTACCTGGTGTGGCTGCGGCGTGCTGACGCCGACAAACAGCGGCTGGAGTCGGTGCCGCTGGTACCGGAGCAGCTGGAGCGGCGGCGGCGTCAGCTGGCCGCGCTGGGCTGCCGGCTGACGCGCGGCGGCCGCCTGCTGGCCCAGCTGCGGCAGCTGTCGGCGCCGCCCGGCCGGTCGCAGCAGCTGGCGGCGCTGGAGCGACGCCAGGCCAACCTGGCCGCCGGCGTGGCAACGTGGACCAACTACGTGGCGTACGTGGCCGAGCATTGGCGGCGCTGGTGCGAGGTGACGGAGGCGGCCGACGCGCAGCTGACGGCCGCCGAGGAGGCCGTGACCGGCGCCGGCGCGCCGCCGCCGCCGCCGCCGGCCGCGCTCGACCGGCTCCAGTCGGAGCTGGAGAAGGCGGCGCGGCTGTGGCGGACGGTGCAGGCGCTGGCGAGCGCCGAGGCGATCCGCGCCGCTGCCGACCAGCTGGCAGAGCTGCACCTGCGGCTGCTGCTGCTGCGGCTGCTGATCGGCACCAGACACCAGCAGACGGCTGACGCCGACACGGCCCGTCACCTGCAGACACTCAGGTGAGACGTCCTCACAGGCGGCACACGCCAATAGTCTGACCGCCAGCCGCCACCACATCGGTCTGTTGTGGTGCTTGTATGGCGTCACACGACGCTTGTTCTCTGCCCTGAGAAGTGCGGTCGGGTTGGTTTGGAAAATGACTATAAGCTTTCGTCTTATTACCAATCTTGTAGTTTTTAATCATGTTTGTAGTCGAGGTAACTTTGCTAATTTGATACATCTACGGGGCCCATATATGCTGCCGTCGTCGGATATGCTGCCGGTTTGGTGCGCATAAGCATTGGCCTGACGCTTGTTTCCGCTGTTGCAGTGGTGATCTGGCGCAGCAGAGCCGGCAGCGGCTGGCCGCCGGCCTACGCGGCCACGGCCAGCCCTCGCTACCCGCTCTGCTGGCCTACTTGCAGCACGAGCTGCCGGCCGAGCTGGCCGCCGACGGCGCCAGCACCGGCGACGAGACGGACCCGCACGGCTTGCGCTGCGCGCGCTTGCTCAAGGTCGAGTCTCTGATCGAGGTGAGTGACGGACAGCTGTCACCGGCCCCTGTGCGCTCAGCCGGGCTGGTGCCGGCCGGCTGGTGTACGTGTGTGCCGCGGATTGGTGTCGGCTCGGCGCATTACTGGCGCGGCCGTTGCAGGCTGTCCTCCAGCCCTTAAATGGTTTCGGTCGTGTCGTGGTCTGGGTCTATCACTGCGCAATCGCTCCGTATCTGTGGCGGGGTCTGTGGTTGGCTGCCGTGTCGTGTTATCCCCACGTGGCTGCCGACTGGAGCGGGCGGGTGATGCGCCGATGCCGACGCCGACAGACAACCGCCGACTTCGAGCGGCGCCGACCGGACCTGGAGCGGCGGCTGGCTGACATCGAGGCGGCGCTGGAGCGGCCGCTCCAGCTGGCTGATGACGCGCCTGAGGAGCACCGCCAGCTCGAGAGGGACACGGACGTAAGTGATCGGCCGACGCCGCCCACCGCCCGTGCCGGCGACCGCCAGCTGCGCCTCACATCGAGCCACACTAGAGCAAAATAACTCGTCTGAACCTGTTAATCCCGTAAGACAAACCGACGGTTTGGACCGAAGTTATGCGATGCCAAAAGCGTTTAGTTTTGAGCGTGTAGTTAATATAGTGTATAGCGTACGGTGTATGTGTTGGCAGTTGCTTGGCCAGAAGCGGATAGTCCCCTACCTTGGTCTTTCCCGTACCCTCCTTGCCATTTTTTGAAGGTGGCGCCTATGCGCTATCTCGCTCCACACTTGTTCCCTGACCTTCATTATGCCTTATTCTCTGGTATGTATCCTCATAGCCTAGCCATTATCATCATCACCTAATCCTATGGTTGTTCCAAGTAGCACTGCTCACCATTCATTCACGGCTGGTGCAAGGATGGCCGTGTGTTTGTTGATCCCTTGATGAATACAATACAGCGTACGCCGGATCGTTGGTGAGGGCCTGGCCCTGCCGTGCGGCCGGCCCGGTGCTCTGTGTTGGCAGTTGCAAGGCACTGATGCCGCAATCGTCGAGGCATGAATCGCCAATGTCGGCTGTTCACCATTAGATAGCTCTGGGTGTGGTGTGGCGGAATGTTGGCCAATGTCAGCTGGTGACCATTAGATAGTTCTGGGTGTGGTGTGGCGGAGCGAGGGCCGGCTGCCGCGTGGCGCCGACGGGCGCGTCACGGCCGGCCCGGTGGTGGCGGTCGCCGCGGTGGGCGCGGCCGGGACGCGGCGCTGAGCGCGGCTTTCCGCGTCGGCAGGACGTGCTGCGCGACATCCGCGACGTCAGCAAGCGGATGCGTGACGTGACGGGCCCGTGTAATCTGCTGTCGGGTGATGGAGACGGCGTGCCGGACGTGCGCGAGCTGCAGGCTGTCACGCGTGCCGGCGACCTCCTGCAGCAGAGGTCAGTGGGGCGGCAGGGTCAGGTCAGAGGTCAGTGGGGCGGCAGATCATACAAGCTGCTGGCGCCGTCGACACCACTCTGACCTCGAGCTGTGCCGCCTTCATACGTTTGGGCTGTCGGCTTGTTGGTGAGAGGCCTGGGACTGGCATGTTTCTAGCCGCCATCTGCCTGAGGCGTAGTCAGAGCGCAAGGCCACACGTGCCAACCATCCGGAATTGGTCTTTTTTGAAAAGTTGTTCTCTTCTGGCCACCTCTCCCTTCCCATATTGATAGACTTTTTGTCGCTGTGTCGGTCATACCGACTAACCGAGTCGATCAAAAAAGGTCCTACGTCCCCTTTTTTGGTATGACGGCCAGTGGCCAAAGGCACTTTGCAAGATGATAAGCATAAATTGAGGCAGGGACGAAGACGGAAACCTAAGGACATATGCCAAGGTGGGAATAGGGACGGAGGCATAGACAGAGACAGGGACATGGACCGACATACCCAGGCGGAGACTGGGAGATGCGGAGCGACTGGTCTAGGCTGGAGCGCGGCTCTGCCTGCTGCGCCGCAGGTGGCTGCGCATCTGTGAGGTGTCGGCCGGCCGGCCAGCGGCCCTCGCCCAGGCGTGGACCGCCGTAGAGACGCTGGGCGGCGGCACGGACCTGCTGCAGGCCGGCCTGGACTCGGCCGGCCGCCAGCTGCCCGACCCGCTCGACGGCCGGGTCGTCCCGCGCTGCCAGCTGGCCGCCGAACACCAGCTGGCGCGCGCCGCCGTCGCCGACCTGGAGCAGCTGGCCGAGCCGGCCGGCCGTTTGCGCCGCCAGCTGTCGGAGGCTCTGCAGCGCGGCCAGCTGCAGCCATCCGGCCCGCTGGCAGGCCGGCTGGCCGCCTTGCTGGCGCGCTGGTCGACGCTGCAGGCGGCGGCCGAGCGGCGCGCCGGCCGGCTCCAGCGGCTGGCGGAGGTGCACGCGCCTCGCGAGGCCGACTGGCAGCGGCTGGAACAGCTCGCCGATCAGCTCCTGCAGCGGGCCGACCAGCTCCGCGGCCAGGCGCGCGCGGGACCGCCGGCGGACGCTGCCGATCAGCTCGAGGTGAGTCCGTTGGCCTTCCGCCTGCAGCGGCCAGCGGTGGAGGCCATGTTGTGACAGATGAGCCTGGCCTGGCCTATCACATCTGGCAGTTGTGCGCAGGCTGTTGAAACCGTGTTAATCTGTTTGAGCTCTTTCAAGCGGCTGTGGGCAAATAGCGGCTCTGCTACATGCTTTATCGATATATGCTGACGGCGCACAAAAGGGAGTAAGCAGCATGCACGCATCAGGCAGGTCACCCTCTCTGGGACTCGAACCCGGCCGACCGGCCCAATGTCCCGCTGTTATACCGCTGGCCGCGGGCGCGACGCCGACTTGCGTGTGTGGGTGCCGGTGCTTGTGTGCCTGGAGGAAGAGGGCGCGAAAGAGGTCCCTTACCAGGTCTGCGCTGGTGTGGCCGTATGGGTTAATACAGGATTCGACGGAATGGACTCGGTTTATGAGTTGGACATTTAGTTAGGGTTGGCAGCTGCAGCTGCATTGCGCGTATGTCTATGTGCCGGTCAGAAGCTGCAGTGTGTGTGTGTGTGTGCGTGTGTGCGGCGTGCACGCGCGCCGGTCAGGAGCTGCAGTGTGTATGTGCGTGTACCGGTCAGGAGCTGCGGTGTGTATGTGTGTACCGGTCAGGAGCTGCAGTGTGTGTGTGTGTGTGTGTGTGTGTGCGCGCGTGCGTGCGTGCGTGCGTGCGTGCGTGCGTGCGTGCGTGCGTGCGTGCGTGTGTGTGTGTGTGTGTGTGTGTGTGTGTGTGTGTGTGTGTGTGTGTGTGTGTGTGTGTGTGTGTGTGTGTGTGTGTGTGTGTGTGTGTGTACCGGTCAGGAGCTACAGTGTCTGTGTACTGGTCAGGAGCTGCATTGCGTGTGTGTGTATGCCGGTCAGGAGCTGCAGTGTGTGTGCTGGTCGGGAGCTGCAGTGTCTGTGTATGCCGGTCAGGAGCTGCAGTGTCTGTGTGTGCCGGTCAGGAGCTGCAGATGGAGCGGGCCGGCCTGAGTGCCCGGCTAGCGGAGCTGACGGCCGACACGACCCGCCGGCTGGAGGCGCAGTGTCCTCTGGAGCAGCACTCGTACGACCTGAGCCCGCCGGCCTCCTGTCAGCAGCTGGACCGACTGCTGGCCGAGCTGCAGCAGCAGGACGTCGTCAGCCAGGTGGGACCCGCCTCCGCTGACCGGTCATTGCTGCCCATACGCTGGGCCGTGGGACCCTCCAAAAAATAGAAGTACTCGATACCCGATGTGGAGGGCCCCCGAACGGTCGAGTGTGTCCGAAGTGGGGCTCACAGATGGGGCTCCGGCAAGAACTTGGAGCCCTCCACAAATGACAGGGGATTGGAAGGACCCTAGACCAATGTAGAGGGCCGATGAGCATATCGCAAGTGTGTCGATAGGTTAACTGAAACCGGGATGAAGGGTCCCTGAGTAACGTGGAATACCCCGACTGTTTAACATATCGGGCCCTGGCCATAGCATACAGAGCCTTTCGGTCCAACGTGAAGAATCTGTGAAAGGCCCCTGATGGTCAAGAGTGCCCCAGCGGCGTGTCAGCAGAAAGGATCCAGACAGCAGCGGGGGCCCCCTGAGAAAATGTGAAGAAATCAAGAGCGACACGGGAGGCTCCCTGGCAATCGGAGTCACCCTGCTAGTGGGTATATAGCGCCCCCCTCGCCAGGAACAGCGTAGGGCCTCTGTACACCATAATGAGCCTTAAAAATTTGTCAATCACCACCCTCTCAATCAGTGAGGAATTATTGTCGTCTGCTGGTAGGCCCGTCACTTTCGCTCGCGACTCCTGGTCACCCAGAAGCTCTAAGACGTCCAAATTTGTTGCGTTTTGTGTAAAAAAAGACATCTGTTTGGCCGAGTATGGGCCCTTTCGCGGGAGGGGGCATTGCCCCCCCCCCCCCCTTTGGAACCGCCCGCGCGCCTGGCGGCACAGCACAGTTGGCGACCTCACTCAATGGATGCCCCCTCTGCTGGGTCTGTAGTTCGCTGGTCACGTGATTGTATTGCGATGTGTTCAGGGACGGGGAATGATGAATGCTGTGATGAACATATGATGGGACTGCAGCCGGGCTGTGGGACCGCTTAGTGGCCACCTTGTCTCGGATGTTAAAGGGAGGTTTACTGACCCAACACATGGATGAGTTCGTGAAGTTGTGTTGTTCTTGTACCGTGGAGGTCGACTGACAGGTGTCCTGCGCCTTTTGGCAGGAGGTGGACGGCGCCACCCCACGGAAGACGGGGGATGCCGGGGCAGGTGGTCCACTCGAACCAGACGTCTCTTCCCAAGAGGAAGCCGGTCCTCCAGAGGAGATAGGTCCCGGGGAGGAGACCTTTCCGCAGGCAGAGGCGGCCATTCACGAGGCTGAGGTCTGCCTGGCGGCTCTCGAGTCACTGCTGGACGAGCCGGCGCCGGAGCCACTGCGGCTGGGGCAGACGCTGGGCGCCTGCTCGGGCGCGGCCGATCTGCTGGCGGCGCTAGAAGGTGCCACCGACAGCCAGCTTGCCACGGCCGCCCAGCTCCGCGGCCGGCTGGACCAGCTGGGCCGCCGGGCGCACGAGCGGCTGCATGGCCAGCAGCGCGAGCTGTGCCAGTGGGAGCTGGACCTGTGGCGGCTTCAGCAGTGGCTGCAGCACACGGCCAGCAAGCTGGAGGCGATGCCATCGGCCGTGCTGCCCACGCTTTGGGACGACGTGCAACAGCGTCGGCTCCGCGTGAGTTCCCGGGGCCAGGCTGGCCCGATATCTGATCTTGTCTGATCTTATCTGATGTTGTCTGATCTTGTCTGATCTTGTCTGATTGTGTCTTATTTGCGCTCTCTCTCTCTCTCTCTCTCTCTCTCTCTCTCTCTCTCTCTCTCTCTCTCTCTCTCTCTCTCTCTCTCTCTCTCTCTCTCCTCTCTCTCTCTCTATCTCCTCTCTCTCTCTCTCCTCTTCTCTCTCTCTCTCTCTCTCTCTCTCTCTCTCTCTCTCTCTCTCTCTCTCGCCTATTCTCTCTCTCTCTCTCTTCTCTCTCTCTCTCTCTCTATCTTCTCTCTCTCTATCTCTCTCTCTCTCTCTCTCCTCTCTCTCTCTATCTCTCTCTCTCTCTCTTCTTCTCTCTCTCTCTCTCTCTCTCTCTCCTCTCTCTCTCTTCTTCTCTCTCTCTCTCTCTCTCTTCTTCTCTCTCTTCTCTCTCTCTCTCTCTCCTCTCTCTTATCTCTCTCTCTCTCTATCTCTCTCTCTCTCTCTCTCTTCCTCTCTCTCTCTTCTCTCCTCTCTCTCTCTCTCCTCTCTCTCTCTCCTCTCTCTCTCTCTCTCTCTCTCTCTCTCTCTCTCTCTCTCTCCTCTCTCTCTCTCTCTCTCTCTCTCTCTCTCTCTCTCTCTCTCTCTCTCTCTCTCTCTCTCTCTCGCGAGCTGAACTGAGCTGAGCTGAGCTGAGCTGAGCTGATGGCACCCGTTCCTCCGCAGCGTCTAGGTGTGGAGCTGGACTCGCACACGGAGCTGATGGCGTCCGTGTCGCTGGCTGTGCGTGACGGACCGCAGCGCAGCCGCGTGCTGGATCTGCAGACACGCTGGGACACCGTCAGTCACCAGCTGATGGCGCTCCAGGCGCTGCTGCCGCCGGCTGCCGACGCCGGCCACCCCGTAAGCGAGGAGGTGAGCATTGATGGGGACGGCCACCGCGGACCTGCGCTTCCGGTCGGCGTGCCTATTGCGGCGGATTTCAGATTTGTACGACGCTACTGCCTATAAAACGTATGTGTACGTTTGTGTTCGTGGTCAGTGAGTGGAGTGTGTAGGCCTCCGTTGGGTCGTCTGAGCCCCCGGACTGAGCCGGCGAGGCCGGACCCGAGCCACGGCTATCACTAGAGCTACACGAGACCCCGATGGCCTACTGCCAGACGGCGCGGCCGAGCCTTCAGACACGACGGCCTGCGCCGTCCAGCGATCGGCGCAGGGGACCGGTTTGGCTCTGCCGGGCCCGGCCAGCGCGGCGTGTCGGCAGTGCCGGCCCTCCCGGTGTGCAGAGCGCGGCTGGCGTCCGACCGCCGCGCTGACGGCGCGCTCCGACTGACCGGCGCGTGTTGTGCGCAGGCGCCGCCGGGGCCGCTGGGCCGGACGCTGCTGGCCATGCGGCGGGTGCTGCGCGCCTCGCTGCCCTTCCAGGCGCTGCTGCTGTTGGCGTTGGCTGTCCTGGCGCTCTATCCGGCCTGCGAGCGCGGCGGCGACTGCGACGCTGCCGTCAACAACTTCGCTGCCAGCTTCGAGACCATGCTGGCCTACCCCAACGGGCCCCCGCCCACCTAGTCCGGCGCCCCCACCGGCACGCCGCCAGGCGGGGCGGCTGCTCCGCCGACTCCGCACCGCATCTACACGGACGTGCTCGGCACCGCATCATCATCGTTACGCTTGGCTTATTGGCAATATCGTTGGTGTTTTAGTCGCCTGATCGCAGCGTTGTTTGAAGCTCAGACGTATAGCGCGCTGTTTTGGCTTGTCGTCAGTAGTGTGCGTGCTGCGCCGCGCGCGGCCGAGCGGCCGTGTGCGCCGTGTTCCCATGTCGGGCGGCTGACGGTGATATCAGGCTGCTGAGTCTCAGACGGGTACGTGCCGGGCCGCGGCGCCACCATGTACAAGCTTCACTTCCGTCCCCGGGGGGGCTCCCGCTCGGCGCCGGCCAGCTGCGTCTCTGGCGCAGAGGCGGCCCGCGAGGTCCGCCTTAAGCATGCGCTGGTATGGCCTGAAGTTGCTGTGTTGTCCCAGTCACGTCTGCGAATAGATGTTTGCTTTGTGTGGAGCGGTTTAACCAGGATCAATTTAAAGCGTTACATGGAGCGGTTCAACCAGGAGCAATTTAAAGCGTTACACGGAGCGGTTGAACCAGGAGCAATTTAAAGCGTTACATGGAGCGGTTTAACCAGGAGCAATTTAAAGCGCTACTTGGAGTGGGTTAACCAGGGGCAATTTGAAGCGTTACATGGAGCGGCTTAACCAGGAGCAATTTAAGGCGTTACATGGAGCGGTTTAACCAGGAGCAATTTAAAGCGTTACGTGGAGTGTTTAACCAGGAGCAATTTAAAGCGTGTGAGTCGATTCTGCAGTCTTCGAGAAATCATCTTGCGGTTGCAACAGTGCCAAATTACGCTTTTAATGTTCCCCTGGCAGTAACGGCGGGTGGCGGTACTCTCACCAGCCACGTTCCGAGCAGAAGGGGACATCCCCTTTGGGCTGTCATCCGTCCGTGGTCTTCCACTCGCGGAATGAAAGCTGCAGAGGTTCGTCGGTTTGCCAAGTCAGAGAGTGAGGGTCTCGACGATATTAAACCTCAGCCCCAAAGCCGAGCTCGAACCCGTAGCTACTGGAGGGAAAATGCGCGTTTGCGAAGCGGAAGCGGATGCTGAAACGTCACTTGTATCACGCGATGTGTAGACATGGCGCTTAGGGCTTAGGGGCATATGCAAACCGGATTTCGCAACGGAAGGGCAAAATTTTTAAGTTTTCCCTAGAAAAAATATTTTAGCGTACTGCCGGTCCGCGAAATGTCTTCCATGGTACGTGTCAGCACGGCATGTTTTCAAACGATATATGTCAATGCGTACATGGGTTTTGCACTGTCTTGCTCTTGCTCTTGCAAGTGCATATAATTGCGCACAAATAGTGAACTCAAAGTTCTTGTGTTGGCGTAACGACCTTCAGTATGCCGCGGGTTTCATGTTATGTTGAAAGGTAGCATATGAACTTTGAATTCATAATTTGACAAAGGTCAAAGATGTGCCCCCCCCCCCCCCACACCGCTCTAAATGTCCCTTTCAGCGTTAAAAGTCGTGGGGGTTTGGGGTTTGCGAATCCTGTGGTCTGAAAAATCGCATTAGACCGATGGCGTTTGTTAAGACATCTTGCACCTCAGAGGACGGTCCCGTTTGATAGCCAGTGTCGTCAAACGTGAACGGTCACACTATGCGCATTCTACTAGAAACATCTTTTTACAAAAGCTTGCAGAAGTTTCAGAAGGAGAAGTTCGTTGGCCGGTCGGCATCATGCTTAAAGTAATAAGCTGGCAGCGTGTTTTATCAAGCTTATTGGTTTCGCTGGTTGATAGCGGTGTTTTGATGCTTGATTCCCCGAGGCAGGGCTATCAAGCGTCCACAACTGCACCCTTCGCGCGCGCCCTTAGTTTTTGTTTCAGGCGCCGTTGCTGTGTTGCCTTACGTCATAGGCCGTGCAGTCTCAGTACTACGCCCTCAGGGAGCATACCAAACAGGCGCCGCTGGCTAATGATAATGTTCGGAAGTCCTTCCATGGCTCTGATATATAGATATCAAACGTGCACAGTCCCAATGTCTACATGCGACATATGTTAGTCAATATGCGGGCCACTCTAAAGCCAGGGTGGCGGCCGTTCGATTTCCGCCCTCCACCGGTGATTTGAACAAGAAAGGTCTTGGCCGATGAGAGAGACCTGTAACACCGGCTGATAATGCTCTCACAATGCTATCATATGGGGAAAGGTGAACCTTCCACGCGCAGGTGGAATTACACAAATTAGACACAGCATCTGGAAATCGCTGCTTCGACGAGCTCCGAAGCCTTCAGTGGCACGCTGGCTGATGTTCGACCGTGCAAAACCGAAACAAGAATCAAACTAGCGTGTTTTACTGGAAGCTGATATCCGTATTCCAACGAGGTCGAACGCACACAGCTGCGATCTTCGGGTCACATTTTAAGCATTTTCCTCGGGCCAACGCATTGTGGCAATGGCAACGGGCAGTGCGGCTGTAGTGAGCTGCGCGCCGTGAAAGGGTGGTTTGAACAAAATAGTCCGGCCGTGCTCATAAGGTGACCGCACCGTTGCACATGCGACTCCAGCTACGTCGCTGACGTCACGTACGAGGGTGAGGCCCGCTACGACCAGGCCTACGCCCGCCCCTCTTACCCCCCGCAGCCCAGCTACAAGCCGGCCAAGTCTTACAACTAACCAGGAGCCGCGAGAGCAAACCGTGACCAGCCATTGTTACTGATGAGAGAAGGTTGGGTGAGAGGTATTTCCAGGCATTAATGAAATTATTGATGCTTAACATCTCGCGCAATTTGTGTTGCATTTGTTTGTGCGACGAAGTACTTTCCACAAAAACTACGGCGCACGTTGGCTAGAACTAATCAATACGAAAGGAGACGGAATTCATCCGAGCACTTCAGACCATCTCGGGGCCGCACTCTAACGTTTGGTTCACAAGTTGGCATCGCAGTGATTTGACATCTCATTTGATTTGACAGGTTTGGGATACTTTGAGCGTTGCTGCGATAAAGATTGCCTGCCGAGAAATCGTGCATTACGTTTATTCAATAATCCGGTGTACATCAGTTGTTTGAACCCCGGGCATTCTAAAGCCAAGAGAAAATTGAAGATCGCTTACCAAGGGCACGCTCGATATGCGTCGTGTGCCTCTAGATCAGTTAGGGGCCATACAGACGTTACTTTTTTCGGGACGTTACACTTAACACAGCGTAGCCAGGGCATAACCATGAACAGGGAGAGCTGAACAATGGTCCAAGTGCATAACGTAATTTATTGACAGTTCCTAAAACATCCAAATGCACGCCTAAACTTTAAAGCCGGCTGCCGTTGGGTTCTCATGAAAGGGAACACGTCCGCTACTTGTTTTGCGTCCTTGACTCATCCAGGGGCTAAGCCCATGGTACGCTTAGCTCAGCGTAACTGCGTAAGTTTTGTTTTCCCCGGGTAACTGACAGTCCGATTGAATGCCTGGGCGACTTAGAATCGTTTGCAGGATGGATAAAAGATAGAGCCTTTGCTTAATGTATTTGCATACCAAGGGCAGACGAATGAAGAATGGAATATAACAAGGGGTGCAACGATGGATTAGTAAAATCAATACACGAAACGACCAACGTAGGAAACAGGGAGAAATATCCGTACACGTACCTCAACTACACAGGCGAGGACCTATGTCCACCGTCTGCCCCCGCAGGGCGGCACAGCTGCGTCGCGTGTTCTCGCATGTCTGCTAGTGTCCCACCAAAAAGGGCAGCAGGAGAGAGGGTCCCCCGTGTGAGCCCGCGCAGCAGGAGAGAGGGTCCCCCGTGTGAGCCCGCGCAGCAGGAGAGAGGGTCCCCGTGTGAGCCCGCGCAGCAGGAGAGAGGGTCCCCGTGTGAGCCCGCGCAGCAGGAGAGAGGGTCCCCGTGAGCCCGCGCAGCAGGAGAGAGGGTCCCCGTGTGAGCCCGCGCGCGCTTTGTATACGAGTCCCACGCGGAGAGTAACGTCACCGCTCCGCCACGCAGCGTGACGTCACCGCTCTACCACGCAGCCTGACGTCACCGCTCCGCCACGCAGCGTGACGTCATCCCCTGCGTGGAGCCGGTCCGCTGGTGAGCATACTCGATACACTGATACCTACTGGAGCTGAAATAAACCGCGCTGATCTGATAAAATGAGAACAGACTACACTGATATTGACAGAGTTTGTCCTAGAGCTCTGCGTTTGCCTTATGCAAACGCATATAAGATACATGCATGGTACGCTTACCAGATACATACAAGGTACGCATACAAGGTGTATACTATTATAGTTAGTGTACACCTTGCATTATACTATAGTTACGCATACAAGACAAACTTATCTGCACTTTGCCTTATGCCATACGCCCTTCACTACACTTTAGTACGCTTGTCATATACTACACTACACTGCGCATATAAGCTTGACTTAAAGCATGCCACGGCCGCGTCGCGCGTGCCGGCTGCGTGGCGGCGCCGGCGGCGACGTCATAGGCGGCGACATCGACACTGGGACGGCCGCGGTCGCGGTGATGGTCATTTCGTGGGCCTGACCTGACCGGGTCACTGGGTGGGGCGATCGGCGGGGGCGGGGGACAGGGGCATGGAGAAATGAGTTCCGTACGGTCGGGAGCTAGTGTGGAATACGGGAAGGCGATATGCGGTGCAGAACACCGCAAAAAAGGAAGGGAAAATATTTACGGCCGTGAGTAGCTCCCGGCGACCGGCCCGGGCTGACCGCGTTGACGGGCCCGCGTCGTGTCCGGGTGGCCGTTGACGGGCCCGCGTCGTGTCCCGGGTGGCCGTTGACGGGCCCGCGTCGTGTCCCGGGTGGCCGTTGGCGGGCCCGCGTCGTGTCGGTCCCGGGTGGCCGTTGACGGGCCCGCGTCGTGTCCCGGGTGGCCGTTGACGGGCCCGCGTCGTGTCGGTCCCGGGTGGCCGTTGACGGGCCCGCGTCGTGTCGGTCCTGAGTGGCCGTTGACGGGCCCGTGTCGTGTCGGTCCCGAGTGGCCGTTGACGGGCCCGCGTCGTGTCGGTCCCGAGTGACCGTTGACGGGCCCGAGTCGTGTCGGTCCCGGGTGTCCGTTGACGGGCCCGCGTCGTGTCGGTCCCGGGTAGCCGTTGACGGGCCCGCGTCGTGTCGGCCCCGAGTGGCCGTTGACGGGCCCGCGTCGCGTCGGTCCCGGGTGGCCGTTGACGGGTCCGCGTCGTGTCGGTCCCGGGTAGCCGTTGACGGGCCCGCGTCGTGTCGGTCCGGGTGGCTGTTGACGGGCCCGCGTCGTGTCGGTCCGGGTGGCCGTTGACGGGCCCGCGTCGTGTCGGTCCCGGGTGGCCGTTGACGGGCCCGCGTCGTGTCGGTCCGGGTGGCCGTCGACGGGCCCGCGTCGCGTCGGTCCCGGGTGGCTGTTGACGGGCCCGCGTCGTGTCGGTCCCGGGTAGCCGTTGACGGGCCCGCGTCGTGCCGGTCCCGGGTAGCCGTTGACGGGCCCGCGTCGTG